TTCTTGTTGCTTTCTAAAAATTGTATAAATGTTTATTATCAATAGGTGACAGTGTTGGAGAACCTCACCTGATAACGTGATAAGCACACATTTTCTTGTCAAACACCTATGATACATATGTACCTGAACAGTTTATTAATTTTAAGAAATGTTATTGTTATGGATTATATAGAAAAAAGCTAGTGAAAACGAGGTTTTTATGTATATATATGACGAATTTGTATAATATGTTTAAGTGTCTGTAAGTAGCAACAAATTGACAAAATAATTTATAACTACCCACCTAACTATGTTCCTACGTCTATGCAGATCCCCTGAAGAAGACAATAAAACTTGTCGAAAGCTTGGGCATTGATATAATAACATTGTATGTTTAAAAACCACAACCCGAATCCTAATCAACTCTTTCATTCAAAATGCTATGCATGCACTCAAAAGTACTAACGAATGACACGCCTCAATTCGTGCCGACATACCTAACTTGTATCCTAAGGTCTAACAGACTACACTTTATAGGATAGGGGATGGATCTACTACGAATGAGAATTTAAGGACAGGTCAGAAATTAACAAAATAAAGTTATTGGTCTGATTTAATTAATGCGTATTTTAAAAATATGTGTAAACAAAGAACAGCTGTTGAATTCATAGCTACCATGTTGGTTACCTACGCCCTAACGGATAGCAATGTGACTACATTTTCGACGTAACAACTAACGTTGGCTCTGACCTGTTAGATCGAGCCATGTTAACTAGCCTATTCCTACAAGTATAGGTCATCATTTTTTTCGATCTAACACCACCTAACAGCGTTAACAATGTTAACACAAAGATCGTGAATACCCAAATAAAATGAAGCCTAAGAACTATTTTTCGCTTAGAATTTCAAGAAAGAAAAAACCTTATTTCTTTCAACCTAAACTACTGAAAAATGAATTGGGATATTGCCAATTTTGTAGTATTTGCTTTCCCTAGCATTTTTAATTTATTTTTATTATAAATTACATTAAAGTTTATTAGAAGTTATTAGGTTTTTATTGAAGGAAGGACACTACCAACCGAACAAAATGATAAATACAATTTTTTGCTATTAAAACCGGATAAAGATACCCCAATACTTTTGTAGCCTAAAATCCACAGTGATTTTTAGGGTGTTAGATGATTTTGATGAAGATATTTCAAATTCCGGTCGCTATTTTGATATATTGAAAAATCGTATGAGAATAAAATATAAGAGTACTTTTTTAATTACTAAACTAAAACAAAAATAATTGTTGGCAGAACCTGTTTATAAGGGTGTATTTGGAGGAAGGCAACCGCATAAATGACCGCGATCAAATCCCGGATAACATTCGCCGTCTCATCCCTTCATTCTCCGCATTCACCGAGCCGAACGTGGAAACTGGGGTCGGCCTAGATCCGATCCCCGATCCAGTTATGAATAGGTGCGTTGGCCCGTGGATCAGGTAGAGGAGTACACCTGATAGGGATCGTGAGACACCCGAGTTATCAGAGCTTAAGCCCATTGACCAGGCCCTCGTTAGCCTAATCAGCGACACGTGGCCCCACCCCACGTGAACCGTGCACAGTTCGACCCCCCTTTTACATCCTCATTCAGGCCTTATTTGCGAACATCCCCCGGATCTGGTGACTCCCTGGACGTCATCCGCCGGTTCAAGGACTCTTTCATAACCAATTTCACGCCCCGGGGATCCCCCAAATTAATTACCCCCTTTTTATTAATGATCCGAGTCTGGAACCAAACGTTTATGCTGTCATTTAGGGTGGAAATGGTTTTTAAATTTAAAGTGTAAAGTGTAAAAAGTGGAACTTTTTCAATATATATAATTAGTTAATGTGGAAATATTAAACAACCGCAGATGACAAAATTGTACAAACATTTATGTGAGTATTAACAAAATGAAAGAGTACGACGCAATTACACATTCTTAAGCAGTCTGTTTCACATTGATCCTTTTATTCTCGTATGTCAGACGCCGCTTTTGACCGACATAAAAGGATTCATTAACCTCATTTCTTAATAGCAAAATAAATTATCGAAATAGTGAAATGAAGTGATCAGGGATGAAGCCATGTAGGTGAAAAAAATCACTTCTTTTTCAACTGTCGAGCTTTCGGCTGTATTTAACGCCTTCCTCAGGGCACTATTTCATAAATCAACAACTTACTTGAAAAATTATTTAAAAAACTTAACAATGAATTCGGACATAAAGTCCAAATAGAAAAATAAATTATCGTTTCTTAAATTAACATCCTCGCTGGTTTTGCCATCCTCATTGTTTATTCTGCCCCAAAATGATCAGAATTACAGGTCTATCACCACTCAGACTACATTTGAGTATTTAAGATTTAACAAAATATTTTGTAGTTATTAATAAATATTATATTTAAATTTAATTATATGTAATACGTATATTTTATAAATTTATTATTACAATTACTGATTTTCTTTAGTTTAAATTTTTAATTTTTTTAAAAATAAGTTATATTTTTTGTAAATAAAACCCCATTATATATTTTTTTTTTTGTTTTAATCTTTCTCTTTCTCTTTTTCCTTTTTTTCATTTTCCTTTTATCAACTTTTCAACCTGCTATGATTATATAGTACACGAACGAATGTCCGTGTTGAATGTTTAAAAAAAATTAAGTTATATTTTTTCTGTAAATAAAACCGTGTTATATATTTACTTTATTTTTTCGTTTTCATTTTTCTCTTTTTCCTTTTTTTTCATTTTCCTTTTATCCGCCTATCAACCTGCTATCATTATACAGAAGACGAACGAATGTCCGTGTTGAATGTTTAAAAAAAATTAAGTTATATTTTTTCTATAAATAAAACCATGTTATATATTTACTTTATTTTTTCGTTTTCATTTTTCTCTTTTTCCTTTTCCTTTTATCCGCCTATCAACCTGCTATGATTATGTATTTAGAAGACGAACGAATGTCCGTGTTGAATGTTTAAAAAAAATTAAGTTATATTTTTTCTNGTCTCTCTCTCTCTCTCTCTCTCTCTCTCTCTCTCTCTCTCTCTCTCATCTATATTACAGGATTGTGAATTGCTGTAGAATTGTTGTATACTTCTGTTTTATTTAGTATTGCCGAAATAAGACATAACATGTATCTAATTAAACAAAACAGCCAAACAAGCAAAACAACGATTAAAGAACCATTAGAAAGTTTGCCAAGCTCCAATTCCAAACAACTGGGCTTTTTTTTTCTGCACTCCACATTACCGTTTACTTCGAACGTGGTTTGAATTCGAGGACGCCAAGTGTAAATAATTCATCGGCGCCGTCTTGACATTTGGTTAAAAAGGTTAGTGTGCAACTTAGACCAAAATGCCAGCCGACAGGGCAGAAGTGTTGTGTAATTGTGTGACACACGTCAAAAATAAGGGCCGGAATAATCTCCCAATAATTATACCCTCCAGGTCGACCGACAGCCTTTTTACTCTCTCCATGGGTTCTGAACAAGACAGCTGGAATTTGGAAATATTGGGCATTTAACTGTTACAAACGGGGACGCCCTGATTTTCGCGACCACACTACATTCCAGTATAGTGCATTTATATATTTGAGCATTAAGTAGCTAAGTGCCGAAAGCTCCATGGTGTCACAGTTATCATAAAATAATATGAGACACACACGTCATAGGTCTTAGATGGGAAAAAGGTTATTTCATTTTCTACGGGACTGTTGTAAAACAGAAAAAAAAATTAATAATTGGACTCGTTAATTTAGATATGTTTAATGGGCGTTTCTTTTATTATTTTTTTATTTATAACGTATTTTGAGTTGTGACTCGGAACTCGTAAAACCATGGTACTGGCCGCATATATAAATATTATTCAAATATTCTCTAGAACGCGTTTTGAATTTCCTAACATGGCTAATTATTTTTTATTAGAAAAACGTACGGTACTATTTTTATTTTAAACGAGGTGAACTTTCAACATAAATGTTTACTTTAATTAACCATTCTTTTTATGTAAGATCTTGTTTGGGATGAACAAGTTAGTGTCACTTTCGGGATTCGAACCCACGTCCTTCGGAGGACTTGTTCGAATCCCGCTCATGACACTACTTTTTCATCTAAACTAAGACCTTACGTACAAAAATAATTAATTTAAATAAGTAATTCGATCAATTAGATCTCTAAAAATAAATGGATTGTTAATCAAGTTTACGTTAACATGGATATCTTGCTGCCACTTTTTTAAAAATGTTTTTGTTAATATTAGGGGTTTGCTTATGCTAATGCACTTTTTTCAATGGGTAGTGAGTTAATTTCCGAGTTTCTCTCTATAATTGTACACATTTAGAAAAATATTTTTCTTGTCGTGCCGACGTTTCGATCTTTGTTGAGATCATCTTCAGGGTTTGGGATTTATTATTATTTGTATAATTTAAACACTGTTTATAAATGTGACCATTAGGTAATTTAGTTAGTTTGGAGATCGTGAGATGCGGTCTGGTGTGACGTAGGTTTTAGAAAAACATTTTCTTCATCGTGGCAACGTTTCGATCTTTATTGAGATCATCTTCAGGACCTGGCATTTATAAACACTTCAATAAATTAAATATACACTTTTTCACATCCTACATGTATTTGTATAATTTAAACAATGTTTATAAATTCCAGGCCCTGAAGATGATCTTAATAAAGATCGAAACATTGACACGATAAAGAAAATGTTTTTCTAAACCTACGTCATACCAGACTGCATCTCACAATCTCGAAATAATCACTGTCTATAAATCCCAGGCCATGAAGATGATCTCAATGAAGATCGAAACGTTAGCACGATAAAGAAAATGTTTTTCTAAACCTACATCATATCAGATGGCATCTCAGGATTTCCAAATAATCGTTACATAATTATCAGTAAATATACACATTATAAAATTGATTTTAACCCTTTTCTTTTTCGTTTTTAAAAAACGCGTGCATAGCCAAAAACTCCCCTGTTGAAAGTACCTGTAGTAGTCGTGCTTGCAGTAAATGTTGCCGTGCCTCGAATAGCAGGTGACTTCCGTGTCGAGGCTTAGCTTGCATTCGGAACACTGGAGGCAGCCTAGGTGCCACTGCCGATCTACCGCGAGCAGGTAGAAACGGTCGGTTATCCGGGTACGGCAGCCTGCGCAGCACGATTCCTCATCCAACACTTCCTTCAGCATGCCGCAACTGCATCTCTCAACGCATCTGCAACAGCGGACGGGACGCTTTAAACACAGATGACAAAAAAATCGCGTGTCTGAAAACAGTAATGGGACAGAGCATCCCTTTCGTGACGGACCCACCGCGGCCAACCTTACCTGAATAGGTGGCAAGGGTGGAATTAGCATAGTAATGCAGGGTTACACACAGCTGCTGGAGGTTATAAAAAGGTGTTGTCATTTCCTCTCTTTCGAGTCAACCGAGAAGACCTGATACAGTAACCAAAAGTCCCTACAATTGACATTATTTATTTATGTACAATTTAATACAATTCGCTCGTTCGTCGGCATCTTTAAAATTACGTTGTAATTGAATTTTTCTTACGACTGAGACTTAAATCTTTGTCACTTAAATAAACTAATTCATATACAACTTAATATAAACTAGATAATAACTAAGTATAAATATAAATATAAACTGTGAAATTATATTTTGCAACAAACTTGTCTTGTGATTTGAGAGAAAGAGAGAGCTAGAGATATAGATAGAGATAGATACATAGCTAGATAGATAGAGAAAGAGAGAGAGAGAGAAAGAAAGAGAGAGAGAGTGAGAGAGAGAGAGGGAGTGAGAAAGTGAGGGTTATGGGAGAGTGGGAGTGGGAGAAAGAAAGAGAAAGAGAAAAAGAGAAAGGGAAACAAGGAGAATTAGTATCTTTTTATTTGGCGAATCGTGTAAATTTAGTTCATTTTTTATTTTAATTTGAGAGAGAGAGGGTGAGAGAGAGAGTGAGCGAGCGGGAGAGAGAGAGAGAGTGGAAGGAAGAAAAAGAGAGAAAATAAGGAAAATGAATATCTTTTTATTTGACAAATCTTGCAAATTTATTTTATTTTAATTTGACAGAGAGAGAGAGAGAGAGAGAGAGAGAGAGAGAGTGAGAGAGTGAGAGAGAGAGAGTGAGCGAGCGAGAGAGAGAGTGGAAGGAAGAAAAAGAGAGAAAATAAGGAAAATGAATATTTTTTTATTTGACAAATCTTGCAAATTTATTTTATTTTAATTTGACAGAGAGAGAGAGAGAGAGAGTGAGAGAGTGAGAGAGAGAGAGAGTGAGTGAGAGAGAGTGAGAAAGGGTAAGACGCTGAATGTGTGTTTTAGTAATAGAGATACTGGGAACTGGACTACGATGGAAGATTTTCTGTTTGCCCAGTTATTATTTTTCAAATCTACAGAAAAATTATTACTGCCACAAAAAATATTCTCCCAAGAACAATCTTCGGTTCAAACTGGAACGTGCAGTTCTGAGTAAGCTGAGCTTTTATTGAACGACCTCAATTTATTGAACAACAAAGACGAGGCATCGTAAAATTAGAATCTCGCAAGCAGAGGAAAGGTGTGATATATTTTACATTTACTTATGTATCTAGATATACATGTAAATAAGTATTCATAGGCACGAAATTGAAATATAATATTAAAACAAAATTAGTATAATTATATTTTGCAACAAACTTGTTTTTTTTATATCTAGAGATAGAAATAGATCGATAGATAGATAGATAGATAGATAGATAGATAGATAGATAGATAGATATAGATGGATAGATAGATAGATTAGATAGATATATAGATAGATAAATAGATAGAGATAGATAGATAGAGAGAGAGAGAGCGAGAGAGCGAGAGAGAGAGAACGAGAAGGAGAGAGACAGAGACAGACAGACAGACAGAAAGAGAGAGAGAGAGAAAGAGAGAGAGAGAGTGAAAGAGAGAGAGATTGATTGATTGATTGATTAAACGTTTTATTACAATGCAAGGTTGGACCTTTCTTTCACTTAACTTGAAATATGTTGTACATTATACATACAATTTATGTAGACTCCTTTGGTCTTTGCCCTCCCTATTTCTATCTATCTTTCTACTTCCTCTATTTCTGTCAATTTTTACAAATAGAATACAAGAAAAAAGTTTAACTAATTTTTTATTAAACACTTCACGTTACAATTTTTTAATTTATTTATGTAAAAAATGAATAAAAATAAAAAAATTAAAAAAGATAAACAATAAAAACTTTAACTAGAATGTTTGATAGTTAGTCATGTCTTTAAATTAACTAATTAGTTTTTACTATTCTTTATTATTATAATTATTTAAATGTTAAAAAACAACATAATATGTACATAATATTAATTAATTTATGTTTCACGATTTTATGAAGTTAATTATTTTCCATGTGATGTTAGATTATCCATTAGAGTGTATAATGCCTATTAACGGGTGACAGTAAAGTCGACAAAGTAATGTCGGAGAAATTTTTCAATAAAAATTATTCTACATGAAGAAATATAATATATTTTTATTTTATAGTTATCAATTTAAAATTCGTATAAATTTTCGTGAATCCTGACTTCAAAAAATGTATGTATGTAAATATTTAGCTGTTTTATTTACATACATGCAGGAATGACTGCTAGAAATACAGTAACTGTATCTTTCCTCCAATACAGCTACATTGTGTAAAACAAACGCTTTGGCCGAACCACCTAAATACAATGACAAGGTTTATTCTGTGGCCATGACGTCTATGTATATGGTTAGCTAATTGCCCTGTAATATTTTAGTTTTTCCTAAAATTGCCCAGCTAACCTAAAATCAATCGTGTATCATTTAAAGTCAACCTGCCCCTAATCGCCCTGGATTTAATGTTTACTTTGTGCGTTAGAGCTTATACAACTATCAAGTCCTCACCAACCAAACCATCGTCAGAAATCAAGAGAAAATCCTTAACGTCAAAGTTCCCTCGTTTATAACAGTTTCTACGAGAAAATAGGAAAAAATTGATATGGGTAAACCGCTTGTAGCTGGCACGAAAACGATATTTTAATGATGACTGGAAAACTACTTCTTTGTAATAAAAGCTAAATACCAAATTTCACAAACTTGCCATAGAACATGTACAACATACAAATAGCACTTAACATAGCATTCACTGTAAAAACTGAGCAGGATAGCATAACCTTGACCTTATCAACAGCAAATCCGTAGACATGTACCACGGTTTCTTCTTGATTCAACAAATCGGGCCCAACTTGGAATCCTTTTTATTAGCAACAGAGCCCAAGAGGTCTCCATCGAACCTGAATATAAACCGATCAGGAGCCTTTGTATAATAAAATTTAATTCAAGTTTCAAACGAATTTAATAATCACACAAGATAATAACAATTAACACAAGATAAATTTACTTTTTAGATTTTAAACAAACAATAAATTTTTTTTTGTGGTGATTAGTGACCGTTAGTCGATGATTATTCGGAAATCGTGAGAAGCGGTCTGGTGTGATGTAGGTTTCAGAAAAACTATAAATATAATTTAAAAAAAATTTTTTGCATTGTATAAATTCACTTTTTTCCACATACTGCAGGTATATGTTAAATTTAAACTATGTTTCTAAATCCCAGGTCCTGAAGATGATCTCAATAAAGATCGAACCGTTGGCACGATAAAGAAACTATATCAACTAAAAACTACATCACAACAGACCGCATCTCACGATTTCCGAATAATCAATAATTTTTTTAAAATTTACATAAACAATAATTTTATGCATACCATTTGACAGACCATTTCAATCAAGAGTGGAAGGGTACTCACTATTTACAGACAATCTGCTGTAAATGTGCCTTTGTTTTTAAAATTTCTTTTAAACCATAATTTGGAATATAATGTTAACTTAGCCAAGACTTTGTTGCTTTTGAATTCAACTTGAGATTGGTTAAATAAGTACACCGAAAAACGTACATAGGCGTTTATATGTTTTTATTCGTAGGGCAACTAGACCATAAAACTAGCTGAAGCAGAGGGAATAAGATATAATCGTAATTCCACCTTATAAAACGGTTCCGGTGAAAGACTGTAGAATTTTTATTGTTATAAATTAAAAGCCATTTCTAGGCGATTCCGGGCAGTAAAAAGCCTTAGGAGCTGCATGCGTTACATGACGACACATGGCTCTTTCCAAGTGGTAATCGTAATAAAATCGAGAATCTGTTAATAAAATGTCTTTTTACTTTTGCACTGTTACCGTTTGATCCTTGGCCAACTACACCCACGGAATGCAAAGGAAAAAATTTAAATACATACGTAAATAGTTACCGGTGCCACTGTCTTTATTTCTCTATAAACCAGTTGTTTCATATAAACGAGTCGAAAGAAAATAAAAATTTTAACTCGAAGACAAAAAACCTCTGACATTCGTATTTTGTTATTTATTTCAAACCATATCTATTTTTATCGTTACATTAACGACAACATGCTTATTTTAATTTAAATGTAATAAAAATTACTTATTTATTCAAAATAAAAAAAGAAAAAAAATTCATCAAAACACCGGAAAATCATTTCGTGATAGATTAAACTGTAAGTAACAATTTATTACCTAGTTTTCCTCTTAACAACGCTTCTTCTGGCCTTGCGCAGGGCTCCTCTTTCTGTGTGTGTGTCTCTCACTCTTTTCCAGTGAGAGAGTGAGTGACTGAGAAAGAGATAGCGGGAGATAGGGAGGAAAATAAATAGAAGAAAAGAGAAAGAGAGAGAGAGAGTGAGTGGGAAGCAATGTGTGTGTGTGTGTGTGTGTGTGTGTGTGAGAGAGAGAGAGAGAGAGAGAGAGAGAGAGAGAGAGAGAGAGAGAGTGAGAGAGTGTGTGTGAGCTTGAGCAAAAAGAAGAGGGAAAAACCTAGGCTGGGAAAAACGTAAAGAACAGTAATCATTATAGATAAATAAGAAAAAATAAATAAATAGTGGTTATAAACAAACCCTTCTCAAAACAAAATGAAGAAAAACGGAGAATGAGAGAGGAAGATAAAAAGAGGGAAAGAGAGATAGAAAAAAGAGAGAAAGAGAGAGAGTGATGGAGAGAGAGAGAGTGAGTGAGAGAGATGTAGTGAGAGAAAGAGAAAGATAAATAGAGAAAGGGAAATAGAAAGAGAGAGTGAGTGTGAGAGAACGTGTGAGAAAAAAAGAGAGAGAGAGGGAGTGTGTCAGCGGGAG